CCTGCAAGTCATGTGATTGCATCCCTGTGTAAGCTCAATCATGTGTTGACACTTGCTACATTGGCGCCACATTTTATTATTTGCAAGAGATTCTAGCTTCACATCATCTGCTGGAGGATTAGGATGCAATTTCTTGTACTCAGTGCATGACAGCTTTCCATGCCACGGGACTTTACAGTCCACACAGAAGAGGCCACGACATTCAACACATCTCCTAACTCCAGATGTAGGGTAAACCGACAGTAAGCTGTTGGCAGTTTCTGAAATCTTGGTTCTGGACATCAAAGCCGAGCACCTCTGGAAAGGGCAATAAACTCTATCTGTGACAGGTATTGCATCCTCTTTAATTCTTCGTTCCCACATTTCCCTCAGTTTCGGAGTCAAGAGCTGGCCACAGGCATCGATAACCAGCTGAGACTTGCAGCCATCATGAGGACATTTTGGAACCATTCCCTGAAGCAGCTTCACCTCTACATGTTGTTTCACACACTGAATGCAAAAGCGGTGACGGCATTTGTTAACAGAGAACATGCTCTCAGCACCAGTATCATTGTAACAGATAACACACTCCTCTTTCCGAGATGCTTTTGCTTGGCGAGGATCTACATGAGGGGTGACTTGAGAAACTATTGATTCCCTAGCAAGTTTATAAGCAAATTTAACATCATTCCCAGCCACCAGAGCAGGCTGACTCGCAGTAAACTGTTGCCTCATCTGCTGCAAATCACTCATTAGCATAGATATCTTCTTTTGTTTAGGTGCCCATCTTCCTGTGACCTACATTCAGGGAAAAATAGGTAAAGAAGCATAAGTCAGTATAATCTAAACTATTTTCGCAAAACACAAGCAGGGGGGCCTTAGAACTCACATTTTACTGTCTAATAGCTAGTGTATGTCAGGACAACCACTACTTCATATTGCAAAGCAAAGACTGATAACAATGGCTAACAAAATGATGACAATACAGAATGCTAGAGTACTCATTGCAACTCTTTCATCAGATTTTTAATTGTAACTATTCTTTTCCCTTAATCATCACATTCTCCAAATGAAAGTTCCCAACAGAAACACACACAATAGCAACATCTTTAAATTACAGAACATAATAAACTAAAACTCAGCAGATTTCTTAGAACAAATTACAGAAAGTTTATAAGCATTGAACAAATCAGATAATCCAAACAGCTACATGATACACCTAATAAAACGTTCCAAGTCAGTAATAAGCCTAGGAAAACGTTCCAAGTCCAATCACTAGTACCACATGATACACAAGAAAACACAAGGAAGATACATTGTGAGAGTGACGTCTAACAATGAAGAACATGAAGGTCGGAAACTTACATATTGGAAAATCGGAAAAGAAGCGCAGAAGAAAGCGATATGTTTGATTCCCAACTTCAAGGCTTCGGTTAGTCCTAGGGTTAATGCCTTAATCTCTGCTTCCTGGCGACTCGGGCCACGATTGACCAGTGGTCCCTTCATCTCAAACAACAGATTATCCTTCAGGTCGCAAATCGCAACCCCAAATCCAGCAACTACGTTCGTCATCTTCCCAATCTGATCGCTGACCAAACCCTTAAAGTAAAGTCTATACAATACGTCTCCGTTGAATTTTCCCGCGACGGCGTTAACCTTCGAACTCCGCTCGCCGACTACTTGTGCCATACGAACAGTTTCCTGCGATCGAATCACCGGCGAGTATACCCTAGCTTCATTTCCGGCAGCATTTCGGGAGTTACCGGCTCTGATGTTAGGGTTTCGGTCACCGTCTCTACGCACACCAGTACCACTCTCGTGGATTTCCCCTTTCCCTTTGGAGCTTCCTTCGCCGATTGCTTTCTTAAAATCGAAACCCTTGTTTCTAACCGTCCGACTGTTTTCGACGGCGATAGGGACACCAGACGTGGCAACAACCGGAGGCGACGGTGGTGGCTGATGAGTACGAGATCGGGAAGTGAGCGACGCCTCAAGCGCCTGCAATCGGGAAGCATAATCGGAATTTGAGTGGCGAGTAAAGGATCCCATTCTTGATTCTTGGCAAAGCGATGAGAAAGGAAACAACTGTGCGTCCGTTGTGTATTTTCTCGTGTTAGTGACGCACTGACGCTGGTGCTGTTTAAAAA